TATATTTTATAATAATTAAAATTATAATATAATTTGAATATAATATATAAATCAAAAATATTAATAGTTATTAAAGTAAATAAATAATACTAATAAAGTATAAAATATAAAATATAGAGTATTGACTAATATACTTTATATTTAATAAAGTATTGACTTAATTTAATAAGACTTTAATTTAATAAGTTATATATAAATATTAATATAATAATTATAATTTAATAGATTATTATAAAATATTTTTTAGCAATTAATTCTTGAATAAATTCTTTCATGAATTGATTTCTATTTTTATATTTGTTGATTATTTTCATGATGAATAACAGGAAATCTCTTTAAAATTCTAAACATTTGTGATTAAATATTCGATTTTCCTTTTTATAATTTGAATGAATTGAATGATTTCAAAGAATATATCAAATATTTGATATATGAAATATGAAATATACAAATAGATAGGAAATAATTGTATTATATATATGAAAAAATGAATAACAGAAAAAAAATTATTTTTTTTTTATTTGAGATTTCGTTTTTGAGAAAATCCAATTTGAAAAATGGTCAATTCTAAACAAAATTTTATTAATTTCCGATTAGATAAAATGAATTATTAAAAGATAATTATTCTATATGTGGAAATAAAAAATAAATCAAGATTAAATTTTTTTTACTCCAAGATTAATTTTCAAAAAAATTGATTTACTTATTTTCATTTTCTTTTTTTTAATGATTGCCATAAGATATTTCATCTTTATTTTGCATCTATAAATCTTTTAGTTTTTTCTACTAATTTTTTTTTTATGCATTTTTCTCCTTCTTATAATTCAGATATTTTGAAAAAAATATTCTTTTTTCGATATAAATTTATAAATTATAGATTTCTTTTGGAATTTTAGCTAAAAAATAAAAAAAATAAAAAAAAAAAATATCAATGAAATCTTGAATTTATCAATTTATTCTTAATTTATTTATATATATATTATAACATAGAAAATATTTTGATATTTTATTTTCATAAAAAATTTTCGAATTTTCGAATTTAAAATAAATTTCATGTAGTCTAATGAAGTTTCTATGTATGATCATTTCACAAGTTGAGACGTTAAGTCAGCCAACAAATTTTTGGCATCCACCACTTCTTTCGTTTTCTCTTTGTTGAATAAACCGAACAAGGATATATGACCACTATTATCTGCAGTGGTGAACATTGCAGACAGTCAAGGGAAGAGCTAAGATCTTATTTTCCGAATGTCCTTATTATACAGGGTATCTCACCAATAATGGCATAACTTGATGAGGGAATGATTATATATAAAAAAATAAGATTGTATGTCGAAAATATAAAAGTTTCATTTTTCAATTATGAAAGAATTATTATAACTGATTATTCATATTATTCATATATCATATTCATATGATAATAAATAAAAAAAATATAAAAATGATAAATAAAAAATATAAATAAAAAATAAATAAATAAAAAATATATAAATATATAAATTTAATTATTTTGTAATAAATTTTTTCATTTAAAAATAAGTTTTCGAAAAAATTGACGAATTCATGCATATAACGAATCTTAACTGTATTATATATTACTTATAGAAAAAAACTTGAAAAATTTTTCTTTTTTGTCAATGTCATTAGATAAATATTCTTCTCTCTCTATATATGTTTTAATTCGACTAAGTCATAAACAATATTTATTTTCGGCTTCACAATCATCAGGAGATACATTCGTTCACAAATGCGACAATTTCATTGCGAAAATTTTGTTATTATTATTAAATATACTTAACTCCGCCAGATAAAGAAATTTTACTATCGAACTTTGTGTATCAGAGTAGCTGAGTCGAGAAAAATGGATTCGTATTTGACTCAAGTTTATGGATACATTATTACCAAAAGGATTTATGAAAGCTGACATGAGGTTAAATAAAACGAACACAATCTCGAAATCTTCTCTCAATCCCTTGGAAATGTTATCAGACAAACGAGTATTGCGAAAATAATTATCAAAACAATTGTTATATAGAATAATTTTTTCACTGGATATCTTAAATGCAATTTATACACTTATTTTTGTTTTGAATATGTATGTTCGTTTATATATGTTTGAATATTTTTTTTGAAGAGTGGATTTTAGAGGCTAAAATTATATAACACGAAAATTGATATATGATTATACAAAAATTAAGATTTATTTATTATTATAAATTATGAGCAGTTTAAGCTCGCATTGGATATAATGAAATAGAGAGTGCGACAATGGTGTAATAAGGACAAAGCGGCCATATTCCATCTCCGTCTTACATAAATTTCAATTATTATTTATAGTTTAATAAATAAGCAATATTTTTATATATCAATTTACGTATTCATTTTGAAAATGGAAATCTCTAAAATCTAAAAAAAATCTTTCTATGAATGAAAAAAATATTTCATGAATATATTATAAATATATATATGTATATGACACAAATAATCATTTCAATATTTTTTTATATCACAATAGTGAAAAGTAATTTTAAAATCATATATGTGTCGACGCTATGTTAGGATACGAATCAGATAATTTGTACAATAAAAATTGTAAAAAAATTTTGTACTCGTTTTAAGAAAAATTTTACAATTTAATTTTAGTTAATGTATATATTATAATGTTTATTTATTTTAATAAGATACTTCAATTTAGACTAGAACATGATTGTACGATTTGAGATGATATCGATCTAATCAGCAATTGACGTTTACCAGCATCATAGATTTACCTGAAATTTATTAGCAAACACCCTGAAATTTATAGAACATCAATTTTATTGATAGCGGATTTTTAATTTAATAGCATTTTTTTTTTACAAAAATTTTGGCTTGGAGGTCGTATAATTAGAAGGATAATTCACATATATATAATTGGATAGATGTATATGATTTATGTATAGTCATCCATATTTTATATCATCATTGAAAAAAAAGATCTAAATGGAAAAAATGAATTTATAAAATTCAATTTTAGAATTTAAATTTTTTTCAAAGCTTTTTGTTTAAAGCTTCATTTTCGAATAAACGAAACTTGAAATTATTTTCCTAATATAAATAAATACTCGATTGATGTAAAATTATGTAATAAAATGTGAAATAAAATGTTGCTATTTGGATCCTTTTGAAAAACTTGAGTTTGAACTTGAAGAAGTTTAAATTCTATTTCTCGTTTTATTGCATATTTTTTTGCTTATTTTTACTCATGGAATATAATAACTTTCTATCAAATAATTTACTTGTATCCGATCAGAAATTCAGTCACATTCTGTTGCAGTTGACAAATATCCAAACTAGATCCTTTCGAAAAATAAAACAAGACTTTAATTGAAAAAATTTTATTCTTCTTTTTCTATTTACTATTTTATAATATTATTCCCTGTCCATTTGTATCATTGATGACGCGACATTTTACAAAGGAAAAAATATAATATGCAATATTACTTTTAAAAAATATATTTAACAAGAAAATTGTTTTGTAATAAACATTTCGTATTTGATAAATAGAAATAATATCATAATTATTGTGAATGAAAATCGATTCATATCCATTCTATAATAGTTTTACTTCGATTACAAGTTTTCAAGTTTTATATTATATTCTATAAGATTTAAAAAATTATTATAAACAATTATATAAAGATAAAATTTTGTCATTTCATCTTTTAGCTCGGTTCTTCTTATATATCAATTCGAAGATATTGTTTTAAAAAAGTTAATTATCGTACACCTTCTACTTTTTACTTAAAAAAAAATTATTTATATCAAATAACATTTTCTTTAAAATAACATAAATTTTACAATAATTATTGAAAGATTTTTTTACAATAGAATAATTTCCATAGAAGATAATTGTATCCAAATGTTCAAATGGGATACCTTATATATAGACATTGCTTTATCGAAATTTGCAAACATAAACGTGATATTTCTGAGAATTTTCTTGACCACATAAAAATCGATCTGGAGATCAAAGGTATTATCTGTGTTTGGAAAATTATATTAATAGATTTTGACAGTAAACGTACATTGACGACGTTATTTCATTGATCTGTTGGATACTGAGAAAAATAAAAAAAAATGTCCTAAAGAAAAAATTCGTAAGAAATAAAAAATAAATTAACTAGCTGATAATTAAAATAAACCATAAAATAAATCAATAAAAATAAAAATAAACTAATGTAATGTGATGTAAATATTCCCTTTTCTCTTTATGAAATATGCTATGAAAAATTTTTCTTATAAAAATTAATTATTTTTTTGAGAAAAAATTGTATTCTTATATCAATAATTTTGTAAATATACGGATGTTAAATTGAGTTGATATGATATTTATTAATTAGTTTTTTTCTATATTTTTTTATTTTATTTATAAACAACGAGTGAAATAATTAAAGTACATAAATTAGAAAGTGGAAAATTCTATTGATTGTATAAGGTGTTTTGTAAATGATGATACATAAGAAATGATTCTATGTGAAAATATAAAGTCATCAAGAATAAAATATTTTTATTTAAGACTTCGTTTTCGAATAAAATAAAAGTACAATTAAAAAGTACAAATAAAAAAAAAAATACAATTAAAATAGTTATTTGTCGATTAAGTATTAATAAATTATAGGTAATTATTCTATATATGAAAATTAGCAAAATATATAAAAAATGAACTCTCGAATGAAAAAGTTTTATTTTATATTTTAGTTATCTTTTCAGTGACTGTCAAATCATTCTCCACTCCAATTATAGGACATCTTATATATAGTTTTTCATTATTATTATTACACGTATTTTAATAATTATTATTTACCTAAATTTAATATGTAAAATTATCATTTAATTACTTAACTTTAATAAATAATTATTAATAATCTGTAATTTTTAATTTTAGGCGAATTAGGGGATTATGATCCTAAACTTCACGAAGGAAACTACATTTCCGAACATAAATTATTGCTTAAACAAACGGAAACTATTGAAGAAAAGGCTATGAAACTGCATCAAACAGAATTGAAGGGATTCACTCCACAGCAAGCAGAAACTCATTTCCTTAGGTTAGCATCACAATTGGATACATATGCTGTTGATCCACATCCCGTAAAGGTAAGCTTGAAATAAATAATTCGGAATCGAAGGAAAAATTTTATTTTTATTTTACATATAAACAAAAAATATTGTGCATCTATCACGAAAAATTTAATTTAATCTAAGATATAAACTTGTTAATAATACTTATATGTGTCAATAAAAGATAATTTGACTAATATCTATTGAATATAATAATAATAATAATTTCAAGAAAATGGGAAAAATAATAAATTTTTTTTAAAATTTAATTATTATCAATCAAATTATTTTCAAAAGATTGAAAATATACATTTTCAAGATAAAAAAAATTGAAGAAGTAGGTTAAAAATAAACTTAAAAAGAGTAAAAATTAATTAAAAATAATATGAATATACATAAAATATATAGTAGTATGATAAAAATATTTTTTCTTCTAATTTTCAGGACCAAAAAGGTGCGCAATTATATCTTGGTATTAATCATTGTGGAATTCTGACATTCCAAGGATCTCGTAAAACACATCATTTCCGCTGGCCGGAGGTTCAGAAAATCAACTACGAAGGAAAAATGTTTATTGTACATTTAACAATAAGTGAGGTAAATTTTTTTATATTTTAATTTTTTAATGTTTCTGTGCAAAATTACGAATGCATAGATATGTGATTAGTTGTATATGTGTGCGTGTACATGTCAAGATTTAATTTTTTTCCCGTCAAAGTCCAGAATATAACTTAATACTTTTAATTTTAATGTATCGAAATATTCGTATATTTAATATATAAATTTGCTTTATTTATTTATCTTTTTTATATTAAACATTTTTTAAAACTAATTTATTCTAAATTGTTATATTATATCTACTTATTTTTTATATTTAAAAGTGCCTTTTAATATTTTTTATATATAAAAGTGCCTTAATCTTTTCGAATCTCATCAAATATATATAATCTTAAACAATATGTATAGTAGTATGATAAAAAAAATATAAACAATATAATCTTAAATATGTATTTAAATGTATTTAAATTTTAATGTATTTATATGTGTTATTTTGTATTTTTATAATTCTAATAATTATACAGATTATTTATCTGAATACATTCCTGGAATACTTTTGAAAAGTTATGAAAGAAGCAAAACAAACACAACAATTAATATAAAAATATCGATTGAGATTTCTTTATTAAAATATAATCAATTAAAGTTTACATTAGATAAGCGAGATAGGAACATAGAATGCAATAGCAATGTGATGGAGAGTCATAAAATATAAGTCATTTTATCTCGTCTTAATAATTTTAATTGTTTATGACTTAATAAATAAACATTAACGGATATTTTTATATATAAAATTTTATGTTTGTTTTGATCTTTAGAATTGATTTTTCAAAGATGGAATATATCTAGATATTTTAAATATATATATATATATATATATATATATATATATAT